AGAGTAACATCTCTTATTTTGGAGTTTCCAGTATTGGATTAAAGAATGAGCACCCACTGGCTGTTTTTGCATAGGAAGAGCAATAGTAAATTTTAGGGTTTTTGTTTGTTTGTTTGTTTGTTTTTCTAATGAATGAGGGAGCTCATGATTTGGGTCTGTCTTAGGAAGGATATTTTGCAAGCTGGAGAATATGTTTTCAGACCCATACCTAGCACTCAGGGAGGAAACATTATTATTATTAAATTGTTTCTGGACTTTTTCTTACTTTTTGAAATGTTGACTGTTGTTTGGTATTTGATAGATACAGGCAGAGTTTAACAGATTTTTTATATTCTTGTTAAGAACCAATCCTGAAAGCCATGTTTCTGTGAAAATGCATATACCAGTAATAACTATTTTGTATGAAATACATTTTTTTTAAAAATATTTTCTTATTTTTGATCGTTCACTAGACAGACTTTTTTTCCCTTAATTGGAAAACTATTTCTCTGGGAATCCTTTTCTCATAATTTGTTCATTCCTTCCTACTTTGCTACTTGCAGGTATGTTCTGGAAAATACTTCAACAGCCAAACGCACTTTATCACTTATGTTCACTCCACAAAATTCATAATGTTTGTTACCAGTAGCTCTTCTCCTATGATGTTTTGGCTCCTATGATGTTTGCAACTTCTATCTCATATACTTTTCTCCCGTGAGATCTCAGGAAGTTATGTGAAGTTTGATTAAAGAAAAAAATCTATATCCACAGTTGATTCATCATCTTGTAGCAAGAAACAAAAAAGCAAGAACAAGTTGGGAGAGACCATTGTTCAAGAACACAACCTATTCTAAAAATACAAGGAGGGCCTTGTTAGAGCAAACAATGTCAAAGACGGATGAGAAAGCTCTCAGTGTTGGCTGAATCACCCAGCCGCTCCTGGGTAGGTTCCCAGCATCCCAAACTACTCAGGATGCCCGATACTGGCTCGGATCCCACTGGGGAACTACAGGGAGTCCCTGAGAGTAGTTTTACCCAGTGTTATGAAAGCAGAAGGACCAGGAAAAGTGAGGCTGCTGAATATAAAAGCTGGAAGAAAAGCAGGGGAACTGCAGTCACGAACTGGTCAGGAAGAGAGACTCAGGTTAGATGAGGAAACAAGAAGATGATGATCTCTTCACTAGCAAGGTCAGAGAGAACACATGGGCAAGGCCAAAGAAGGTGCAGTCGTCCTTCACCTGATGCTGCCCAGCATCTGAGGGCTTGATTTAGGTTGTAAATGACATATCGGGTTGTAGTTAGAGCGTGGGGCAGTGACCTCCTTTGGAAATTCTTTGCTGAACCTGTTAAGGGTTTCAGCTCTAGGCTGACCTTTAAAGAGAGAAATATTCTTGTTCAGCATTTCTCAGCCCTTAGGGGTCCTTCAGTGTTTCTCAGCCCATTTCTTGTGGACCTCTGCTAGAAAACAGTGTTTTCTAATCTCTCAGAAATTAACATTCARACAGACAGAGAGGGCTGGAAGTAATAAAAATAGTAAGTCAAATTCACAGCTTGCTTAGGCTAACTTTGTTATGAGCCACTGTGGTGATAGATGACTGTGTGGTTATTTCTCAATGCAGTTAAGTGTTTCTCCTTTGTTTTCAACAAAATTAGGTGAATTATTGATTAAGAAAATGAAAAGTTTAGAAGTACTGATACATGGCATGGTCTTTTTTTTCATAAATGAAAAAAAGCTACTGGAGCTAAATGCTGATAGATACTCCTGTAATTGCTGTTTGTGCTTTTAAATGAACATACATGCCAAGTAAGAAAAAGAATTGGAAGGAAAGTAAAAATGCCAGGGCATAAAATTATTATATATGAAACAAATTGGCTTTTAAGTCCGATAAATTCCCTTTGTAAGAATAATTTCACATTCTAAGTTTATTTCCACTGAGGTTGATGGTATAATTAATGCTAATAGAATTCAGTAATTAACACACAGTAACCTAAACAGCAAGAGCCTACTTACCATTTTCTAAAAAAAATCTGCCTCTTTGTAAAAGTTTTATTTTTAGCTAACAGTTTCTCCCCCAAGCTTAAAAGAGAAACTTTGGTGAATATTTTTCCTCCTCCTCCTCCTCCTAATAATAATAACAGGCTCTGCAGAGTATATCAGTTGGATCATGTAAGTGACTGCATATTTATATTTTAAGAAGTTCACAATGTTTATAACTGAAGTAATGCATAAAGTTTGATACATTACTTCTGTTTAAGAGCTGCTGAGTTATTTTATGAAATTAAATTCAAAAGCTTATTTTGTACATCAAAAAATCATAAAGGTCCATACTCTTTACAGAGTACAGATTCTTAGGAAAAGAAGAATAGTAACTATCTGACTTAAAGCCTAAGCATATACTAATATTAACATATGGCTAAGAAAAAATAATTTCAGGACTATTTTTTCAAAAGGAAATAAACACTCAAAATGCTGGAGTGATTTTGAATGAACCCCCAGCAGGCCGATTAAACTCTGTGGCTAAAGGCCACAGGTATTTCATTAAGCATTTTAACGGAGATTTCTTTTTTGTTAGATTTTTATTTTAGAAATGCATGTGTGATGATGTATTTCTATCATGGCAAACGATAGCTAATTTAAATAGCCATTTTTTTAAAGACCATTAGTCTTTCTCTTATTTATAGTCATGATTATTAACACATAGAAATAACAACACTTAGAATTTGAAGCAATCTGCAGTGTAATAAGCACTGATTCTTTAACTTGCAATTACTATGTTATGTTCCTGTGCTGAGTTAAATATCTCAGGCCATGCATAACTTTTAAGGTCATTATTTCTTTGGGAGAGTGACTTTGAGTGACTGCTCCTCTGTTGGACCTTCCAGCTTTTTGATATTTTAGAGATATTCTGAATTGAAGGCAGCATTTGGACCATTATGTAAAATAACCACTAACGGATTTAATGACTAGTAGTGATTTAATAATCACTAATGGTATTTGATTTCCATCTGTATGTATTTTAAGTGACTGGTTGCTTTGGAATACTCTATGATTGGGCAATCTGGCCTACAAAATGAAGAAGTGTATATATATATATTTCTGTATAGAAATCTAGATAAATATAGATTTGTGAATATACATGCACATATGCTACAGCACATATTAGTTATTTTTTAATTTCTCCAAACACTTTTAAGTTTAGAAGGAAAAGTGCCAGGATGACGACAAGCTTTAGCTTTAGTTCTTTTTTAATACTAACACCTGGCACAAAATCACATTGGGCAACTCTGTAGTCATCTCTGAGAGGTGCCTGGGCAGAAGTAGAGAATGACATATTAGCATGCTAGAAGTCTATCAGATAAATCAGAATTCCTGTTATTAATTGTACTCTTGATTCACTTTGTATTCTAGAAACATTTCCTTACCTTCCCACGGTTGCACATTTTATTTCTCTGTTTTTATTTTCCATCATACATTGCACAAAGAAAGAAAAATACTGAAACAGCTACCATAAGATACTCAGTTGGGAGTGTCATCTGAGAATACAGATAATGGCAATGTACAGAAACCCAGTGACAGATAAATTTTTAGTCTTTATAAATAAAAAAATAGAATATTGAATAAGTTGTAGATCTAGGTATTTCAAACCTAAGTAATGAAAAAAATAGAATATTGAATAAGTTGTAGATCTAGGTATTTCAAACCTAAGTAATGCTAGAAAGAGGTGGTCAATACAAATAAAAAATCATGCAGACATTTTGCACACAGCAAAGAGACTTGGTATAGTGGTATACCTGATGAATTAAAAATGCAGTCAAAATTAAGCTTGGCAAGCCTCAGTAATGATGCAATGTATAGTTTAAGCCTGACTTTCTTTGATAGGTCCATCGTAAGTGTTTGGAAATGATGGGTGGCATCCTATTTTTCGATTCTTGAAGCATTAGAATAGAGCATGAAGTGATTCCTACCCTAGATAACTCTGCTTATGACCATAACCTAAGACACAGCACTCAGTTTTTAACTGAGAGACACCGTCCTTGCTAAGGGAGCATACAATAAATCCATGTACATGCTGTGGTGTTCTGCTAAGCACAGACTCGAGTTATGTTGTTTCTGAGCTGGCCTATTTCTACTTGTCCGGGACAGTCATCTCACCAATAAGCTGATTTTAATACATACACTGACAAATCTGTGATTCAGTCTTATGCATTTGYCAATCATTAAGGTCTCACGAAAGTCAGCCACTTTATGTCCTGTATTTGTTAGAATTAAATGGTATTTCTATTTTATTCGTTGTTCTCTCTCTCCTCCTTCCCCCCRTATGGATGAACAGAGAGTTGTTTCTCAATGTGTGCAAAATGACCAGGAGAGAATATCATGGGTACCGGTCTATTCCTTGGGATTAAATGTGGGAGGGGTGATCATGAAATGCTTCTGGGAATAGTGTGGGATCTCATGGGCTGCAGCCCAGGCATTTCTGTTTTGGCAGGTCTGCATTCTTCTCCTCCTGGCATGTGCAAAGACCAATTCTGTTACGTCTTTAGGAACAGTCTTTTGTCTTTTTCTATGGGAACAGTCAGGTAGGGTCTGAGTAATGAAACCTGGAAAGGGGAAGGCTGCTCTTCATTCCTGGTATAAAATTCTAAAGCACCTTGCACTGAGCCAGAACTAGAGGTGGAATCTGGCCCTCATTCATGGGTTTGGGGCAGTTTCTACATGAAAATAGGAGCTTCGTTGCTACTGACATGGAGAAATACACATCTGGCAAGCCTGAAGGGGCAAGAGAGGCCAGCAGTACTGAACTTTGATAGTAGCTTTGATAGCCACATGAACAGCCTCTCTGTATGCATCCAGTTACAAGAGTAGGTCTGACCTGAAATACCTTCCTTTTCAGGAAGAACTGCAAGGACCTGCAGGGATTCAAAGTAGAGGCTACTTTTTCTTCAGGGTATGTTTTTTTCCTTTGCTTTGTACATATATGCATATTTATGCTTTGTACATATATGTACATGATACCATGCTATTTCTTAAWAAATCATTGGCTACTATGTGTATAATTCTCAGAAAAGCTCTAGAAAATACAACATTCTTCTAAAACATTGTTCAACAGTATGTTTATATATTACATAAATACAATGCCATGTTTGCTTACTGCACGAAGAAAGATATTGGATCTGACCTTCCATTTTCCTTGTAATTTGACCAGTAAGTTTGGAAAGTAAATATGGAGATCTTTGAAGATCTGGAGGTCTTCAAAACCCACCTGGATGCTACTCTGTGCCATATGCTCTAGGTGTCCCTGCTGGAGCAGGGGGGTTGGACTAGATGATCTCTAGAGGTCCCTTCCAACCTCAACCATTCTGTGAGGCTGTGATATAAAAATTCTCATGAGAATGAACTTACTCTGTCCATCTTTCACRCCATCTAGCCTTTTCATTCTGTTTGTGCAAAATGGATTAAGTTAAAAAATGTCAAGTCAGACTTGATAGTGATTTTCTTCATTTTGGTTAATCCCAGTGAAGAGAAGACACGTTTGTATACTCCTGTTTCTCATGTGTCAGTTTTGGATCTCACAGACCTCATGATAGGCCAGAGTTATCAGTTATGTTAACCCTTCATTAAATAATGAATCAATCCATGATACATTCACCATGGCAGAATAAAYAGCCCTTCCTTATTAAGCTCAGCAAGAGCTTTTTTACAAGCTGTGGTAGAAAGTGAATCAAGTTCCCAGGTAGTGCAAAATTCTACTGCAATGACCATGGTGAAAAAGAAGAAACTCCTCACATTAAAGAACACAGATTAAAAATAATCAAAAGTAACTTAATTTGTTTGTTAATTGCCACAAACATTTATAATGCAATTGCAGTACTTTGCAAGCACATCTTAGGTAAAGACAAAAAGAATGAGGGGTAATGGTCTCAAACTCCTTGTGGCCTCAAAAATCATACCAGGCAAAAATAATTCTTTCTTCAAACTTCAAAGCTGAAATTTTACTGTGTAATTTTCCTCGTGAGATGGATATGCATTAAATGATAACGGATCTCAGGGTTATCTTTAATGAAGATTACAGTGACAAAACCAAGGAATATGTGAATTTCTCTATCTACTGAGCTCTGTGGGGCTTTCTTATTGAAACTCATCAGGSTCAGCTTCACAGAGTGTTTCTTGGATGTTTGTCTTTCAGCCACGCAATGGAAGGAGATCAGTGGATTTTCGCTAAGGAGGTATTTAATGTTTTTAATCAAGATCTCTATTTAAATATGTTTATCTTAATATAAACAGCCAAATAGCTGTGTTCAAAAATGGTGCTTAATGCAGAAAGTCTTTAACTGTGCTTTAACTTAGATTTCTGCAGATACATTTTCCCAGGTCCATTAAATTCCCTTTCTCACACTGAAATGAATAGAAGCTGCAGGTACTCACTCACTCCCTACAGCAAAGAAACTGGAAGTGTTTCAGGCAGCAGGAAACAGAAAACATCCGGATTTGTAGATAGTTTGGAAAATTACTAATGATATGTGTATGTCAGGAAGAATTTGTCAAATACACCTGGGGGAGTAAACTGATATTCTGGGGCTAATCCTTCTGTTCTTACACAGAAGAAAATCCCACTGAAACTAAGCATTGACTTTCCAGTTTAATTTCAAATAATTCAGCACTTTGGAGTCACAAACAAGCTCTTCTTTGGCAGTATTATGATGATCTCTTATCTAATACATTTTACACTCTAGCATACATTAAGCATTTAGTGTTACGTCGTATCGACAGCTAAAGCTTTTTCTTACTTTTTCAGGATTTTAGATTCCTGATGTAGAACTAATCCTGCAGGAATGCTGAGTCCATGGACATACTGTTTTCTTTACAAAAATTTTCCTTACCAATGTACATTTCAAAAATCACAAGGATGTGAATGTTCTTAAATTGGATTCAGTTAACAATTGAAATGTTTCTTTATTTGGATATATTAAAAGCATATTAAAATTCCTTGTTTCCTAGTGTTATGTTTATGACTTGTCTAATGCAACTGTAGAAACGCCGCAGTGTATACATATGAAAGACATTGCTTCAGAGATGCACATTTATTTATGCACATTTATTTTCCGTTCTGAATAAAGGCACTTAGTTAGAGTTGTTTTAATGAAAATGTCTGCAGTTAGACTTCTGGGATCTTATCAGCATCTATTCTTTCACCACCGGACTAAGAGCGAGCTCAATCCCACAGAAGCCCCACGAAGGCTTTTGCACCTGGTAAAATCCCACTGTAAATCTAAGTCACGACATACATTTTTGTTGCTCCACCACAGCATATACTACCGTGCTGGGACAAAAATTAAGGGAGCAGAGGAAGAAATCCTAGGCGAAAGCGCCATGCTTTGAAAAAATACAAATATTCCAGTGACGAAAAATACGTAGAATTAGAACCTTGGCGGGGCTGCCCCCCTCCCTTCCTCCCCTGCCAACGGCCGCCGCTCGCCAACGGCCGCCGCTCGCCAACGGCCGCCGCTCGCCAACGGCCGCCGCTCGCCAACGGCCGCCACGCCCTCCCGCCGCGAGGGGCGCGCGCCCGGGCGGCCATGCAGGTGGGTCCTGGAGCGGGAGGAGGCGGCCAGGAGGACAGGGACGAAAGCGGGAGCGAGGGCTCCCTCGGGGCGGCCAAAGGAGGGAGCCGCGAAGCCTTCCCGGCCCCTCAGGGCGGGTCGCGAGAGGCGGYGGGTCGGGAGAGGCGGTGGGCGAGGGGCTTCCCGGGGAAATACGTCACGGAGGCCACGTGGGATTTTTAAAAACCTTGGTTTCTGGAGTGCGCTTAATCATTAATAGCCTTTGTTTAATCATTATTATCCTTTAAGCATAAAAAAAAGCGTGAAGTACTGCACTTTGGTAACTGGGTAATCTTAGTATACTGTAAAGCATCATGTCACTTGCCCAAGAGGAAGTTGCAAGTTAATATTTAAGTTTGGCTTAGAAGTGTTGTTTATGCCCCAGAACTGAAGTTACCAGCCTAGGGGTCCCAGACTGAATACAGGTGACTGTCACCCTGGCAAAGCTGGTGGTGACTCATGTCACCTTAGGCAGCAACAAGAAGTATCATGAGAAGTTTTGCTTGGGATTGGGACCTACTATTGGGGTCATAATGGGTAATAAATCAKTAATACTAATACTGTAGTCTGACTTTCTCACCACTGAAACAAATTTATGTCGGATCCGTTTTGCTGTTGCTTAAGTCCTGTGCCAGTTATGGTCAAACATCTGCTGAAGTTTTTGACACACAATTTATTTCTTGTGTGCATATACTGCACACTAAAACAGATACGTAAACACCTGGGTTCTTACACATTGATTTAAATCAATTTGTTAGAAGTTGGGCAGCTTCTCATATTCCTTCACAGTGGAGTTGGGTTTTATCTCAGAGACCCATCTCTGTTATGTTACTACAATATTAATTCAATTCTTTTACACCATGTAAAAGCACCTAGAAAAAGCCCAGTATACAGTCAGTAAATCATTTCACAAACCTGTTGAGACTTATTAAGTAGAAATTATATATACTGCTTAAGTAAAATACTGCAGAGAAACTTAATTTAGGATGATTTAATTTAGGTACAGAAATACACAAAATGTTGAAATCTTTCCTACCAACACTGGCCATAGCTGGTCTTCTATTTTAAAGGTACCCACATTCTATCTGTCTCACTAGTCCTTTTCTCTTAAATGACTTTGAAACATATTTGTCCACTTATGATTATTTTGAGGCTTATGTCTCAAAATCTTTCCTAATCCTTCTGGTAGAGAGAGAAATCTGCATTCTCAGAATTTATCCCTATTCCTCACCTAAGTGAGGAAATCCTATGTATGGGAACATTTGTATGGAGGCCGGGATGCACTTGTGTCACTCTTGTTTTCTTGTTTCTTCTGTGGATTACTACTTTTTTGGTGAAGAATTTAAAACTTGTAGTAATACAGAGAGCACAACAGGATTTCTTGCATAAGTACATTAGCTGTAGCAAATCATATGGATTTTTCCTACTCCATTCATAACTATTTCTTTTAAGATTATATGTGGAGCTTCTCTTTTAGTTTTTCCAAAGGATTATGCTTTTAAATGAAAGAACAACAACACATACCTTATTCTTAAGCCTWTATCTTTTTGTATGTGCTTATATACATGAAAGAATCGTGTGATGTAAATCAACATGTTATATCAGGTAACTTATGTTGATATTAATAATATATTAATATTAATAATACATTAAAAATAAAAAGTTATTGTAATATTAAATATGAATAAAAAAGTCATGCTTGTACATGACTATTCCTTAAGTATGTTTATGTGGTGTTTTGGGTTCCTTTTGATTTCTGAGGAAAGTTCCTGTATTTCTTTTAGAAATTTGAATAGGTATTTCAGAGGCTTATAGGTTTGATTATGTTTAAATTTTGAGTGTTTTTTTCCCCTCCATCTTTTCCCTGTTATTGTCTGTCCAGATGTGGAAAATGCTAAATGAAAATTCATTATAGTGAAGCAAATGGTCCATGAAGATATAGCAGACTCTAAGTAATGCTTCACCTTTGTTATATAGTAATCGTTGGCCTTACTATATGTCAGAGTGAAAAGGGGCTAGTTTTGGCTTGAAAAAGAGGCATAGGCGACTAATTCGTTGTTTTGTTTCTGTTTCATAATACCAAAACAGGATCCAAATGAAGATACAGAATGGAATGATGTGTTGAGACGCTTCGGAATTCTTCCTCCAAAAGAAAAGCCAAAAGATGAAATTGAAGAGATGGTTTTACGTTTGCAGAAAGAAGCAGAAGGCAAGTGAGATCAAACAAAAGCTTTTGAAAAGCCGAGGTATTTGCAGAAATGCGTTTTGAGCCATAAATACTGTATGATAATTATATTCTTATTTTAATTATTTTCACTCAGTTGATTTTTTTAAGGATATTGAATTAACCTTACTATACCATAACAGATGCCATAATGTTTGTCATTAATGTTCAGATAACTCATTTACAGCATTTTAGTAAACGAACTAGGCAGCATAAGCAAGATTCACATGCAAACAAACTGGTAGTAATCCACTGCTGTATTTCAGTAGGAACATGTGGATTTCATTAAAACTGTTTTCCCCCTTTACAGCAGCAAAATATTTTTCTTCTTGCAACTGTTTTCCATTACTGCAGACTCCTAGTATGATTAATATTTTCAATTTCTGTGAAAGATGTAGTGATTTATGAGCCAAATTAACACACAATCCTTTACATCTGTCATCRCAATCCTGTACATCAAGTACCCTTTCTATGCAAACCTGGCCATTGGCATCCATGTCCTGTCCCCAGTGGGTACGAAAAAATGTATTTGCTGTTTCTTTACAGATTTCTGTATATATTAGAAAATTATTATTGTGGCTACCCATAGCTTCCCTTCAAAGCACAGCAAGTTAAAAGCGTAGTAGGAGCCAGGATGAGCATCTCTGTGTAAAACTGTGACCCTTGGTAGCAGCTTCATTCCTGCAGGCAAGCGGCTTTGCATAGAGCCACTTAGGCTCTTGTTCAAATGTTCTGTAGTAATTCCCACTTTCTGACAAGTTCCAGACTTCCAAAATGAGAGGCAAGTTACAGTTGGTGCAGTTGGATCCAAGGACATAGCACATGCATAATCCTAAGCAAATAAATATCAGTTATGGTTTAATAATTTCATTTTTTCTGTGTTAAACAAAGCTATATATCAAAATTGACTAGTCTCTGAAATTATTTTTACATTTTTTTTCTTTCATTAATCCTATATACGCATAATAATTTTCATAAAAACACATAAAGTGTTTGAAGATCCTTTTGAGAATAAAAGATGACTGTTTTTGTTTTTCCTAGTGAAACCTTATGAGAGAATGAATCTTAAAGAACTAAAGGAAGCTGAAGATGACTTTGATGAGGCTGACATAAAAGCTGTTGAAATGTACAGGTATAGTAAGACATTCCTAGCCAGAACGTTCATGTATGTATCACTGCTGTACATGCCCACGGAATCATACAGTGGTCGAGGTGGGAAGGGACCTCTGGAGATCACGCAGTTTAACTCCCCCAACTCCTCCTGACTGACCATAGCAAAGAGAGGGAATTTACACTGTAGTTTGCTTTGACATTTTAAAAATGTATTTCTCTTTAAAAATATTTAGTTTATTCTCAAAGCTGCATATTTAAAGGAAAAGACCTCCATTAGTTCAATGAATATACACCTTACCATGGAATGTAGAAAAGCATTGCTTGTTTGAGAGCTTCTATACTATTAGATATTTCTGCAGAGCTTGGTACTGTGACTAAGAAAAATGAGATATGCAGAACATGCAGAATTGAAAAAGAAAATCCTATGATGAAAATATTTAAAATGTTTCCTCTGGACTATCCATACTAAGTGTTTTTGCTTTTTAAAATGACGAAAATAATTCGTGTTAACTCTTTATACCTCGTGCTGTGTTCTCATGAAAGGCCAATTCATCATGTGAAAGTTGTGGATATAAATTATCATGCATTCTTTCTGTAGTAATGTTGCAAATATATTATTAAACTTTTTAAAGAAGAATAAAGCTACTTCTGTAGGAAAATCAGTAACTTTTTAGTTAGTGAATTTAAGACATTTTTCATTGTCTATGTAGTTAATAGGTTTAGATTCAAAGACTGCCACCTGCTGTCTTAACATGCCATTTCCAAAAATTATTTAAAATTATATTGTATGATATTAAGGCAAAGAGTACTGGTAATTCTTGCTCAAATTAATCTCGTTATGATAAAAAAAAAAAAAAAAAAAACCTGCACTTTCCTTAATTTTTCTTGCTGTGTCTCCATATCGAAACACTTGGGTAGCATTTGTTAGTTAAGTTTACCAATTCTGACATTAATATATGCTCGTAAAAGAAGAAAATACATTTTAATGCTATCTTATTGACTAAAAATTATAGAGAGAAACCTTTCTAACTCAAAAATATTCTACTGATACTAATAGATCATGAATTAGAGAGCATTATTCAAAGCGTTTTCTTTAAAGGAATTAAAACAAATGCACTTATTTTACTATTCACTGTATTTAAAAATTTTCAGCAATGTTTTTTTTTAATTAGGCAGCAGCGGTTGCAAGAATGGAAGCGTCTTCAGCGGAGACAAAAGTATGGGGAGCTAAGAGAAATTTGTGGTGAGCAGTACGTGAAGGAAGTTACAAATGCGCCAGAAGATGTTTGGGTTATAATTCATCTTTATCGATCAAGGTAATTCCTTTTATTTTTTTTTTWAAAAGCGATACCAAGAAATATTAAACACATAAGCTTTGTTGAAATAGCTGTTGTTCGGAGCCAATGGAACCCTGGAAAATGATCCTAGGGTGAGCCCACTTTCATTTGTTAACTCATTTTGAGAGAGTTAATCAGTCACCCTTCATCACTCTACTAAAAGTTTTTTATCCTTATCACCATGTCCTGAATCTCAGAAGCACTGAGAATTAGTATGGAATGCTTCAGAATGTTTTTCAGGTCAGAAGAGCTTTCTCTTTTCCTTCTTTTTAAGACCTTTGGGAGGAAGTGGTAGGTGGTGATATTCGTTTTTTTTCCCACCTTTTATTTGACTGGAATGGAGCCTTCTTTCCAGCAGCAAGGAATAGGTCAATCAAATGAAATTGTTCAAATTACAATAATACAATTTAATAGAATTTGAACATCTGAAGAAACAAAATAGAAGTTTTTTTGTTTTTTTGTTTTTTGCTTATTGGAGGACCAACTCAGTACTTCATCAGTGAATAAAAATGAGTCTCTGAGGAAATTCGTAATTCCTTAGGAATGAGYACCAAATCTCCCATGCCAATTGTGGCTAGAAAGTAAGAAATGTGTTTTTCCAGAACTGCAACCCTCGCTGTCTTTCGCCACCAGGGGGTACTGCCGGAACCCTTTGAGGTCTCTATGATCTATCTGATTTTGAACTTGGAAGTTCAAACTAGTTACTTGAAGTTACTAGTAACTTGAAGTTACTTGAAGTAGTGAGCGGGTCATAATATGACTACAGAAAGGCTTCCCTGAAGTTATTCAGATGGTACTAAAAGACTGGAGAAGTCATTAAATGTTGAACYGGAAAGTAATTGAAATTACTTTAATTATTTAATTAAATACAATTTAATTTGTATTATCAATTTTAAAAAATCCTTTAAAATATGGAGAAAAAAAAGACAAAATGAGCTTTAAAATCTTRGTGAAGAACAAAATTGAAGCATAATACTTGAAGCTTCTGTTGAAGCATAATGCTTGAAGCTTCTGGTAAAGACATATATCATATATGTATTCAAAGKTTTAACCTAGCAGCTCTTTAAGCCAAAATGTTCTTCTTAAAAAATAGCTAACTAAAATCTATACTGTAAATACTATCACAAATTAAAGTAGAAAAAGATKAACAACATGTAAAGGTATATTTATTCTTCAGAGCTTTGCTTTGTAATTGACTCTAGTTATTTTACAAATTGTTACACTGGAATTGTCATCARACTCTTTTCTTTTTTTTAGCATCCCAATGTGTTTACTGGTTAACCAGCATCTTGGCCTGCTAGCCCAAAAGTTTCCAGAAGCGAAGTTTGTCAAAGCTGTTGTGAACAGCTGCATTCAGAATTACCATGACACGTGTTTGCCCACAATATTTGTGTATAAAAATGGTCAAATCAAAGGCAGGTTCATTGGAGTAGCTGAATGTGGGGGCATAAATCTTAAAGTGGAAGGTAAGAGAAAAGTCTTAATTATTCTCTTTATAGAAAATCTGATGATTGTTAATAATCATCAAAACTTAAAATAATTCCTGAAAGGTGGAAAAGATTTTAAAACATTTTTGTAGGAAAATTGTCTTGTCTGTGTATTTATGTAGAGGCTTTACAAACTTCTCTGTTCTTCTGTTCTCTCTTTTAAGTACTCTGGGTTACATCAGATCTAATTTTATTAAAGTATATTCTGTAGCTGATGTACTAAAACTACATATATGGTTCTGTTAATATCTTTGTGTTCATTTATTCTCACAACTGCCACCTTTCCACTAAATGCCACTTCAACATCTTCTAGTATGGCTSCAGTTTTCCTTGTTACTGATTTCCTTGGATAGGTATTGCATCAGTTTATATTTAACTCATATTTGGAAGTTTTTCTTGAAAAACATGAAGAGTAAATTTCTACTCTCCTAAATGAACCAAATTCCTCACCACAAGGCTATATAATGTATTTCTAGGAAAAAAAATAAAAAAGGATAAAATTTGAATCTTTTATGCTTAAAAAAAAATCCAGATGCTTTCAAAAAGGAAACCTCTGTTTCTGCACCTGCCTGATGACTGGGAGGCAGAGGATAGTTTCATCCTGCTTGGAGCATCTTCCTTCACATTGGAAGGTGTCCAGACTGAGGGGAGGAAGAAACTGGACTCCCTTGTCTCGTGCCAGCACTAGCCATTGCACTGCTGCCCAAGCACAAGGGAGCAGTTTTGCTGTCTCCTGGGAGTCACTTATCCCTTTCTATCCAGTTCTGATTAACTGAACATGAAAATGTAGTTAGCAACTGTCTAAAATTTTTAAATGATTTATATGTTCTACGAATAAATGTATTTTGTACTCATTTCCTGAAATAAATGTCATTGGTTGCAGAGCTTGAATGGAAGCTAGCAGAAGTTGGAGCAATCAAAACTGATTTGGAAGAAAACCCTAAGAAGGACATTATGGATATGATGACATTTTCAATGCAAAATATTTCTGCTCACAAGGACACCAATACCAAAAACAGGGATGTGATGAAACCAAACATTACTTAGGCACTAATTTTTAGTGCATCTGCACTGAACAGCTCTTTTTTCCTTTTGTAAACCTGTGCCAATACAAGGAGTTCTTGTTTCACTTGTACGCTTTTGGTTTTGACTTTTTGAGGAACACTGAATAAATAAACACCCCACATTTAGCTTTGGGTAGATAGAGAGGCTCCTACTGACACAGAGAACCTGGATTCTCCATTTCATACAAACCCTGCTTGAAAAGAATTGGAAAAGGGAAGAGGGTAGGCTGTGCTCGATGACTTTTTTCCTACTTTTCTCCAGCATGCATGCAAGTTTGAGTTAATTAATTCCCTTAGTAAAATGACTGGCTGTGATAGAGTTCTGCTTTGCAAACCACTTTCTCAGTTCCTCCCACTGGAAAGCTGGAGAACGCTGTGTATGGTGATACAAAAGCAAGAGTTGGCCCTAAATCCATTAACTATATATATAAATATATATATGTGTTTTAGTTTGACAGTTATGCAGCAATCTTTTCTTATTTCAAGSGTAATCTTCTCACTGTTTTGTAATACATACACTTGGGTTGCTTGTTCTTTCCTAACAAAATAAGTATCTAATTAGCAAAACAGATTACAGTGCCACTGTGGATATCTAAAATGAAACTATGTGAATGAATGAAGAGACCAAGCTTCTTATTCAGCATTTTATTTTTATTATGAAGAGCAAATCAAATTGCATACTATTAATGTTATTTTCCAGTGACTCAACTGGAAAAAAAAAACTGTCTCAATGTGCTAGTGAAGATTTAATTAGATGCAGGAGCTGCTTTATGGCATCAGCATGCAGGAACAAAAATGGAACAAACAGTTCACTTAATACTTTACGCAATGAGGTTATTAATAAATATCTATTAATAAATAGAAATCACTACAAGAAGCATTTATTTTGCAGAGAGAGGGAGATTACTGGATGTATCTCAGTGTCAATAGTGCATCTGCCACTTCGAAGTAAGAAGCTAACAYGAGGCAGCTTGAAGTGTAATTTTTTCCAGAGGGAAAATAATTTTACAAAACTGCTACTCCTGGATATGCAGAGTGTGAAGAGATACACCAGAATATCTCTATTTTCCTGAAGAATTAGTACTATTTACTGAAGATCTTGTGGCAAATATAGAGCATTACATTTACGTAACATAAACAGCTTGATGATGCTTTTAGCATCTTGGTTTCTTGGCCATATTCTAGTTTTGGTAACATTTCAGTTTTGCTGAAATTGTTCCTGTAATTTCTCCTGAATTTTCCATTCTTGGTGCAGACAATTGTATTTCCTGAATTTCATCACAGCACTGTTACCCTTTGCATGAGTTATGAAATATTTGATTTTGTTTATACCACATTTTCCTTCACTGAAAGCCAGAAAGAAAGTATTCTGAATCAGTAAAAAACAAAAATCAAGTGGCTCTACTAATCCTTTAAAAAAGTCTTCCTGTGGAAAAACTGAGGTTATGTTTAGCTCTTTGGCAGTGCTACTACTGAAGAGATTCCTGCTCCCCCCTGTACCTCTGTTCAAGTTGTACGGTCACATGGTGAATCAGGAAACTGGTCTACCTGAAAAATAACCCAGAAAGGAAAATCCATGAGATTTTTGCAGCCAGATCAAATTACTTACTTCATTCCACACACAAACACTTCTTTTCCTTTGGAGGGGCACAGGGGAAGAAGGCTGATCTGACTTCTACACATACACATCTGTAACCACATTTTCGGATACATTAGGGGACCAACGGCAAAATAAACATCCTTGTAACTGTGGAAGAAGACCAGGAATATTTACATACTGTTACTACTGAGTAATGTTCTGTTTTACAGAAAACGGTTCCGTGCTCCAGCCCCGCGGGCCGGGCCGGCAGGATCGCGGCCCATCGGAGCATCCTCCGGCGCTGCAGCCGGGACCCGCTCCTGGCACTGTGTCTGCTGGTGTCTGCGGGGCGCCCGGCAGGCACGGGCCCATCCTACAGCTTCCACACGCCTTCAGACTGCCCCCAGGCCACACGCCGAGCAGCGCTAGGCTTTAGTGTGGCAGGCAGGCCCGCAAACTCTCATCAGCGGGATCGACCTTTGCTGAAATAAGGCATTTCCAGAGCAAAACTGCTCTGCATGCAGCTGTGTAGTCCAACAAAAATGCTCCATCCACTTGCAGGGCACTTCAGTTTATCGAGCTCACAACTAAGCTTTTGTGCTGTGGTTCACAGCAGTCTGTAAGGACAAAAGTAACATATAAACTGCTGCTTTTCCATGGGAAAGTGTGCAAGTTGCTAAAGCTGTGGGACTTGCCTTGCCTCACAGCAGTAGTGTGCTGTCAGGCACGAGCAGCGGGCACTTCTGCTCCAACAGGTTACCGATCTCACACTTGCAAGGGCTGCATGATTTTAGCAGGTGTTGGCCAAATCGGGGTATTTAGGCTCGGTAACGGCCGCACGAGACCAGCGCTCTGTGGGGCTGCTCCATAGGGCGGCCGTTCAAGGGGCTACGGGCACAGAGGGGCTCCTCGCACGCGCTCGGGCCCGTGTCGGGAGCTGCGCAGCGCCG